CTGTTACGTCCTGCATGCATGTGCTGATAAAATGACCTGAGAAAACAGGCTAGGCATATATTGCTAAATATAATTGTACACAAATTTAAATATAATATTAGAAGAGCTTTGAAAAGTGCTGACTATTAAAGCTATGGGTTGTACCTGAGCTGGTTTCCCAGCACTCAACAGTGACTGTGCCATTTTATGTCCCTCCTTCATTAGAGCGCAGTCCTGGGTGAGCACTGTCTGAATCCCCCTGCTAGTTGAATCCCAGGTGCATTCTGACACCAGGGCTGTGTGGGAAAGGAAAGATGCCTCCTACAGCAGGGAGAGGGATACATGTTCCTCCCCTAGAGTGATTGCTCCGATGTCTGAGTACTTGGTGTTTTAGCACCTATGGTCCCTGCCAGAGGAGAACGAAGTCCCAGGAGGAAGGGGAAATGTTTTTAACACCTAGATAAAATGAAGTATTAACCACAAAGCTTTCTGAAATCCTGGGTTCCAGGTCTCCCCACCTCCCAGCTGCACCCTCCTGCTCCCCAGAGAACAGTTTGTTCTCTGGATCTGTTAAAGTTTCACTTTTCTTGAATTATTTTGAGTCAGGTTTCATAACTTTCAAACAGTAACCCCAAATACACAAACATACTCAGCAGCAAGACTCTGACATACCCACAACCTGTACATTTCAGCAGATATAGAAATAAAATTCACACTTTGCATCTGGTTTAATAAAACAGTTGGTATACAGCTTTTGCCATAAAAAACCAGGTTTAAAAAGGGAAATATCAGCCAGATGAGGTGGTGCATGCCCGTCATTCTGGTACTCTGGGAGGCTGAGGCAGGAGAATTGCAAATTTCAGCCATGCCTGGGCAATTTAACCAGAACTAAACTCAAAATAAAGAAGGGCTCGAGATGTAGCTCACTGCTAACACCCTGGGTTCAATCCCCAGTAATGCAAAACAAAACAAAAATGGGAAATACCACTATTAAAACTCATGATATGAGAGAAAATGCTAAGTGATGTATATATAAGCTATATATAAAATATAGGGATACTGATGGTTCTGCAGTCTTTAAATCTGAGAATTTTTATGGATTTTTGACATTATAAAAATATAAAGTTATAAAGGTATACAAGTGTATGTTTTCCATTTTTAAGCATATAGGTATGATATGCAGGTATTTATAAATTTGGTTGTCTGTATAATATGTTATTCTATTAGCTGATATCTGAGACACATAGCAGAAATCAACTTCAGGATTCAATCTATTGACTTATTATCCTAAGCATTTTAAACAATTTCATCATAAAATATACACATTTGACAAGCCACCATGGGTAGTGAAATTTCCTGGGAAGCCAACAGGACAGAAGTTCATGCATAATAAAGGTTCTGATCCCTCAGTCATCCATTCAGTTGAGTTAGCTCTGACACAGTTACTGTGAGGGCAGTGACATCGGATTGACAAACGGCCGAGAAATCAGGTAAGGTGAACACTTTTCTTATGTTGAGTGCAGCAACCCTTTAGGTTCTGTATTCATGAGCCGTAATGAAAAACCAGCCACGTCAGCCAGCTGGTGATGGAAGTTATGATTCCAATATCACTTAATGGAGAAGTAAGCAGCAGAAAGTTGTTGTGCATTCTTTCCTTCAGAGGAAGAAAGGGATTAAAGCAATACAAGGATGAGGCAAATTACTCAGGCACAGTCCAGCTCCGGGTGGAGGTTAAGGAAGCCATCACTGACCCTGTGCTGCTGCAGGAAGAGTGCTTCTGTCCAGCACAGCACTGTGGGACTGGATGGTCCTGCACAGGAGGCGGTGAGCAGGGCTAAATTTCAGCAGTGAAGACATGTCTATGTTCAGACCTTAGAACAGAGAGCCGTGGACTCAGAGGGCTTCGCGGTCCCCTTAGCGTAGAATCAGCCTGAGCTTCTAGGAGCTGATCACCTCGTCCAAAGACAGAGAAGACCGCAACTGTCTTTCTGATCATCTGAGCATTATCATTAACATTACAGCCACATTCGTTCGGTGTTCCTCCAGGGACCTGAAAAAGTAGATATCCCTCCAACAGACTGAATTTACACCTCGTACAGCTGGTGATTTGCTGTTTGTCTCTTCCCTGTGCTGTCAAAGGCCCTTTTCCCTGGCTGTCCCCAGGCCCTTCTCACTGCTCGCCCTCATCAAACCCCTGCTCTGTGCTCCTGGAGACCCCTTGCAGTCGCCTGACTGAAATTCGCAGTGGTGGTTTCTTCCTTTCTCCTTCCACACCACCAGTCTACAGCTGTTAATCAGAGTAGCTGGCCCTTCCCGACGCGGGACCTCACACACACAGGTGCACTGTGGAGCGAACGTGGGGAGACGCCGGGCACGTGCGAGGAGAGTGGTGGTCACGGCATGGTGCGAGTGGGCTTCTATCGTCATTCACACACCTAACTTCTTACGTACTCTCTGTGTACAGTGATATATTCGAGGTCTCGGGAGTGCACTGAATGGATGGATGGAAAGGAATGTCTCTAGCTTAAGAAGTTAGAAAATAGAATTGGGGCAGTTTTGTAAAGAACTATAACATGTGACAAAATTAAATCAACCAACTTTCCTGAAGGAGGCACGGGTGTCCACAGGTGTACAGTGTGGGGAGCGACTAATTCAACTCGGGACCTGGGTAAGACACTGCCGGTGAAGAGGACTTCACGGGGAAATGCTCAGCCCCAGCCACAGAGAAAACACTAGGCCGATGAGTGGGGAAAGGAGGAAAAAGCACTGCTGGTTTTGATGTTCATTCCTTTTTTCGCATTAAGCAGATATTCAGGGGCAGGCAAAAGCACAAAGCAGCCTGAGAAAAATCAGGGGTAAAGCCAGGTGCCCCAAAACAATAGAAGCATTAGTCAGCACTGGATGATTTCAAGTGAGAAGAACAAATTGCAGCTCGTTCTCAGAACAAAATTAGAATAGAAGTAGGATAAATTGGTTGTAAGAAACAAAATCCAAAGCAGGGATCTGCCACAGATCAGACAGGATTATGAGCAGGGTCTGGCAGTTCATCAAGATGCTTTTTCAGCCTCCTATCATTCTTTGTTCTTCTGATGATTCTATTTTTCTCACTTCTGCCACCGGCTTAGGGAGGACCTAATAGGAGCATACCACAGTTCTGGAGTGTTCCTGTTACCATGCTTGCCTGCAGAGCAAAACGGCCAGGCACACAACTCACAGCCAACACTAATGTCCTGCGAGGTCCCGAGTGAGGTGTCCGCCCCTGGTCTGACGGGCAGATGGGCAGTGGGTGCATTCGGACTTCATTTTCATGTTCAGGTGTTGCTGTACTGTACATTGTGCATTTGGTGACTGACGTGCCTCACCAAGAACTTCTATAGGTTCACGAATCAAGTAGTCAGGTCACTGGTTCCATTAAGATTTCAGCACAGTAGTCTTCCAACCACCTCAGGCTTAGCTGATTTTCACATGCTCAGCAAGGAAATACCAGACATATGGAGGACCAAACAAGAAAAGAAAACCCATATCATTAAGGACAAAGTACCAAGATTTACGAAAGACATACCTGTGCAGCTAAATACTGCTGCAAACAGAGAAAAATTATGTGAAACATTTGTTTTCTACTTGTAATAAGATTCAGGAGAAGAAAACATGGACCCCACTGGACATACTGTCTCCACCCGTTTCCACTTCTCTGCTTGCCTTTGGAGAAGGCTGAGGCGCCCTTTGCACCTTCTGCTGGTAGAGTGTTTTCTTCCTAAGAAAAGACGAGGCTTGCTGAGAAGAAGGCACAGCCGACTGTTCTCACCCTAGGTCTAATTCATAATAAATTTAGCTTCTCTCCACCTGAGGAACATCACTGATTGTCTGTTCTAGTTTGGGGTTTGAGTCCTGTGGCTTTGCATCTTTTCTGAATGGTGGAAAATTGTAATCAGTGCACCAGAAGTTCTCTGTGTGCTGTCTCTTGTGATCTCCAGGCCTACATAAACCTGCATGATGTTCAAATGTGAGGTGTGAAGGTGGATATAGGAGGCAGAATTTTACAGAAATGAAGATCATGCAAGTGGGAAGAGTTAGGGATAGTAGCATAAATGTTAAAAGGCATATCTACAGCTGTTGAAGCCCTGTGAGTCGTGACAGCAGTAGAAATGTGTCATTAATGGATAGAGGATAATGAGACACTACCTAGAAGGAACAGTGACATCAGACCAACAGACTGCAAAGACAGGACAGGCTTTCTGTGACACTGAGAATGCTTACAATGGGCCACAGGTAGCAGAGAGCTGGTAGAAAGCAATATCAGAGTGATACATAGCATAAAGAAATGAATCCCATTGGCTTTTAGAGGTGTCTTCGAGAGTCCAGTTAAGACAACAAACAGGTCCTTTGCTGAAAAATTACTTTGTACTGATGCAAGGCTGCAACTCCAACAGGCCTGATAACAGAGTGTGAGATGGTGACTGTGTTTCTTAAAAAGTGGATAAAATGCAGCTCCCTGTGAAACCCTGGAATTGGCAAACTCTAGTAATGTTCCAAGCACTGGGTCAGTGCAGAACACCATGCGTGAAGCGTCTGCATTTGTAGAGCTCAGTACATCCCACAGACACCTGAAGTTCCATCCTGATTGAAAGTCACAGAGGGGGACAGGTTGTCTGTCTATGCTTCCTCTATGCAGCTTTTCAAAAGGACCATGATCATCTCATCTATGGATATCTGCATTGTGGCCTCACTATTTTTCCAAAATTAGATCTGGAAATGTTTAAGTCAGGCTAAAAAATCAATATATATATAGATACCAGGCTTAGAAAGGCAGTATTAAAGAACACTCCACATTAGATATTAAACCTTTAATTCATGAGCCCCTGGTGAATTCCATTTTTTGCTAAAACAAGTGCTCCCATAAGCAATTGAAAAATAAGATTCTCCTTTCTTTTTGAGACAGGGTCTCACTATATAGTGCAGGCTGGCCTTGAACTCACTGTGTAGCCCAGGCTGGCTCTGAACTTGCAGTGAACCTCCTGCCTCAGCCTCCTGAGTACTGGGATTACAGGAGTGTGCCACCACCCCCAGCTCAGTTTTTGGCAATACTTCTCTTATAACCACATGATAAGCACTATCTCTCCAGGTGCTCATGCATAAATAGGTCATCTCAGAGGCATTGTGATCAGAGGTGTCTGGCTGAAGCCTGCACACAGCAGCCACTAGAGTAAGCTCTCGCAGAACAGTGGTGGTGACACGAACGCTTCACTTGGCCTGTTGTGCAGCTCAGGCGTGGAACTTTGTACCCTTGGAAACAGGTGTGAGCCTTTCATGTTTCTTTACTTGGTATCTAAGAAAGACTGATGTATCTGGGTTATGAGAAGACATGGGCTGGGAAGAGTACTTTCCTCAGTCATCAAGAAGTGTTTCACAGCCACAGAGAATCACCCCTGGCCCCTTTTGGCCAACATGTATTTGATGGAAGTCTGGTGTCTATAAGATAATTACCTTACCATTCTATTTTCCTTTTTTCATTTAATTTTTACTAGCACTTGTTTATAAGATACATGCATGATGGTTACAAGTAAAATTTTCTTATTTCATTAGCATGAAAAACTGTAGGAAACAAAGATAACTGGGAAACAAAGACATGAATGGTACATGTGGGCCAGGGCAGAAATGACACCTGACACCCAGCCCTCAGCAGACAGAGGGTTCTCCTCTGTAATATAATAAACGTCAGTACTCTGAGCAGAAAATTTTGACTATAGAGAGAAAGTATGATTCTTTCCCTTGAAAATATATATAAATTATGATTGTGCTAACATTTCCTATGACCAGACTTTCTCAGTGAACTTCCTGTTACAGGCTTTGTTGCTATCATTGGTTGTTACTATTGGCCAATGCATTCATTTATGATTTGTTTAGACTTTGGTGATGCAGGGAGACCTGCTGAGCTACACAGAGTGGAACTAATGCTGAGCAAATTCACTTGCAAAGCATTCAGTATGAATTCTGCACACCAAACAGATCAGCTCTGGGCCTGAACTGCTGTAAAACCCACTCACAGGACTCGTCATGCCCGTTTACGGGAGACGAGAATCCCACCAACTTGCATGTGACTGTGCTTGTCGGCAGCACCCACCACTCAAGTGCAAGCTTGGACGGACTGCGTTTATTATGTCAAAGGCAAATGAGCAGCTGCTCAAATCTGGACGGTAGAATTTTAATATAACATCTGCACAATTTGACATCTCTAGAATCAGCTTTTCCTCACCAAAGAGCTTTCTGTGAGTTTCATTGAGAAACTGCTCGTTCCAATGTTTCCTATACTGTTTCGTGTTCCCCACAGAAACAGCTCTTCTAAACAGCATGGCCAGGCACAAAAATCTGTGCCACTGAGACAGCTCCAACCCCTTTACATCCCTTTTCAACTAACCCTCAAGGTCACTGTCATGTTTTCTGAATTCATAAAACTGCCTATATTTCTGCATTAGTATCCTATCAGTAGAAGAATGAACGCTTGAATAGTCTATGGCTATTTCCAATTTCCAGGCAATCTACTTTTAAAGTATCTTTCTGCTATATAACATTCTCTTTTCCATAAATGCCTCTTGGAATTTTGAGAAAATGATGGCCCAGAAATGGAATGTCTCTGTGCTCTGTCACAGGACACAAAGGCCATGAATAAGAAGCATAACTCTTACTAGAATGAAATATGCATATCTGGCATAAACAGGGCTAGAGAAAGTATTATCCTCACACCACAGAAAATACATGACTCTGAACAAAAATGACCCAACTGAACACAAGCTTTAGACAGAGAGAAAAATTCCCTCTATATACAATTTGTGCCAAATTATAAAGAAAAAAAAAAAAAAAGAGGAAAAAATAGAAGACAGCTAGGCAGCCTGGCCAAGAACAAAAGCATGGAGCTGCCCCTGCAGGACACTCCTGGGCCTGGAGCTCCTCTCGGCACCCCCACACTGTTAGTTTGTGCTGATCACCCAGGTCAGTGCTTTCACTGGGCAGATGTGTGCGTGCGCAGGGTGTATTTTAATCGTCTCCCCCGTCACTTCCTTCTCCGCCCTTCCCCCACTTCACATTTTGGGGGCTTCAGTGTGTATAACGTGCTTTGATCACAGTCATCTTACCTATGACCGCCCCTTCCTTCCTCTCCAACAGCAGCTTCTTTTCTATATTCACGTCATCATTGTGGATTCACCTGTAAGAGAGAACAGCCGATATTCGTCTTTCTACCTCTGGATTATTTTGCTCAATATTACGATCTCCACATCTTTCCATTTTTCTACATATGACAAAATTTTATGTATTTTTTTTAATGGCTGAATAATATCAGATAAAATTGGTCACATTCCTGCACTCAGGAGAAATCTCCTTGGTTTAAAGGGAAAAGACCAGCACTACTGGAGACGGGATTTTCCATTTCTAATGACTGTCGCCACAGCGAGACTAAGCCAGGAGGAAAACTAGGCTGGAATGAGGTGCAGCTCCACATCATGAGCTGAGCGGAAAGTACAGCGACCCAGAGAGCACAAACACAGAGCAGGACCTGGCGGTGCTGTGCAGAACATACATGTTCACAGCAAGGATGACGGAGCGAGGGCATGGCAGGGATCAACAGCAAATCACAGACAGAAAGGAGCTGGTGGTCAGACACACAGAGCCGTCAATCATACTCTGTTTCTTTGGCAACCAGATGGCCTCAAGGCCCAGGGTAAGCCAGCCGTAAAAGCCCCTTCTCGTCCTGGTCCAGAACAATCACTTACCCAACTCTCAACCGTGTGGATGAATTTTAGAATTAAGGCAATAGTGAGTGAAGGAAAAAAAGGAAGCCATGTCCACTATTAGAAGGGACTGAGGGATTAGGAATATGTGGAAGATGGTAAAAACAAATACAGGGAAAGGACATAAAAGTCAAACAGTGTGAGCTTCCCTGAAAAGCGCACACAATAGAAGGAAATTAATGATTTACAAGCGGTAATACTTAATTAGAAATATACTTCTGCTGCTTTACAAATGTCTTCTAGAGGAGGGAAGTTTTCAAATGATGTCAGCGAGACCCGAGACCCAGTTTTCATCAGAGTAGCTACACTGGGCCCACCCACATAAACCAGAATAATCTCCCCATTTTAAAATGATCTGAGCATAGCTAACTATAATTCCAGCTCAAAATTAGCTCCCTCTGCTGTATCACTTGAAAGGCCTATTTCCAGGTTCTCGGGACTAAGACCTGGACATTTTGGTGGACTCTGGCGATCACAGAGGTATTTTCAAGGAACTGCAAGAAACCAGGACTCACCAACACCCAAGATTGAGGCCCATGAGGGGATTTTTTTTTTTTTTTTTTTTTACCTCAAAGTAAAGTGTTAGTAGGTGGGGTTGACAGCTCTGGGCATGTGGGGCTGAAATTCCTAGGCGGTGCCTCACTAGGGCCGGGGTGGTGACAGCACAGCTGCTGGTTACAAAGGCAGAGCTGATGAACCGTCTCTACAAATAGGAAGGTGGGAAGCAGCAGGCTTCTAATAAAAGGCTTAAAGGCAAAAGGGGAAATTAGACACCAGAATTCTGGAAGTACACACTGTCACACGGTTTGAAGAATGAAGTATATCAAAGAAAATCTAATAAAAGATGAAACTGTATGAGTAGAAAAGGAAAGCTGCCTTTATGAAACACTCTGATGGTTGGGCGCACAAAGGCATCAGCATTACCTGACCAGCTGGGTAAGATGATGCTCTGTCCTCACTGTCCCATTCTTCTCACATTTGTTAAGTAAATAATTAAAATTTACCCCCCGCACCTCACTTTCCTTGTTAAGTAAATTGCTTTACAGCTCATAGCTCAGCTTCACTTTTGAAAACTATCAGGGAACAAATTGAAATTCTACAAAAAAATTATACATTTACATAAACACATTTTATGATTCTGGATGAGAAACAGAAACATTTTGAAAAGGAGGGATGCAAATCTAAGTTGTCTTGCGTTTAGATTAACTTCAAAAGTAAGGAAAGTAAAAACCGTAAATCTTAAAATAAGGGACTTACCGTTAAAGGAGTATGATATGAAAGCAGTTAAAGAAAATCAGTTGCATTACATTCAATGACTCCATTGTCTTATGCAAAAAATAGAAAGAAATAATCATTTAGAGTAAGATTTTAGGTTAGCACATGCATATTTGGTAATATATTAAAATTTAGAAATCCAGGATTACAGTTCTGGAGAGCTTTGCAAAAGTATTGTTAGTTGCTTAAACTTTATACTGAATTCCTGATAAGTAGCCGCTTTGGCAATTTTCCTCCAATCAAGCACCTTGGTTCTTGCTAATGCAAGGTGGGGCAAACACGTTTTTAATGTGCGGACTTTCTTTATCAAGCTTCTAAATTCAAGGTAACACCACATTGTTGATTTATAAAGTCAAGTATTCAATGCTAATGTCAATATCACTTTTTTCAGTGTTTTCTCTTAAAAGTCCAACTTGTGGAAGTTCAGCTCTTGCAAGGACGGGCTGCCTGAACAACGGGGCGCTTAGATGGGTCACAACCCAGCCAGGGCACTGTTCAGAGAAAACAACAGCAGCAAACCATAGTTGTCATCTTGCCGGAAGGAATGTGTTTGCAGTATTCCACGCTTTTTGCCTGGACAAAGTAAGGAATGAGGGGAGGGTAAAGGAAGAGAGTACAGTGCATTTTTAGTTTTTCCTAAACAAGGACATAAAGTAAATCACAAATAAGTAAAACTAAATAAGAGGTATCTGGCTTACATCTGTCTGAACATGCTGAGAAACAGTCTTGTCACATGGCTTGTATTTAAGAATATCAATTCCATATAAGAGGAACTAATGAATTCTCCCCTTGGACATTTGTTAATAATTGAGAAATAAGACACAAACTAAACTGTGTTAGAGTTGCTTTATCTGAGCAATATGAAGATAACTGGATGCTATAAAATAAACTTCAGACCCCCTACAGTCTTTAGGAATTGCTGTTCCCTTCACCCAAAGGGACAGACAGAGCAGGTTCTAACTGTAAACTCAGGCACCATGGCTAGTAAGTGGGAAACTTTTAGCAAAAACGTAAATTCTCTGAGCCTAATGGACACCACGTGAGGACTATACGTAATCACAATAGCTACCTCTCTGGTACTAGAAGCATTGAAATTAAACACATAAAGCAATACCAATTGCAAAATAACTGCCCAGGGAACTACCATTACTGAACTTAGATTCAGCTCATAGCAAACATTAAATGGATCGAGAATAGTTTTGAACTGATAATAGTGATGATACCTTTATACATGCACAATTCATTTCTTTGCCCTGAGCACTGTTAAAAAACACTGATTTAGAAATGAATATGAACAATGACTTTAATATCTTCATTGCACAAGAACAATGTTTAAGTATACCATCATTCAATTCAAGTTTAAAATGGAATGTTCCTTTTTAAGGAGTGAATCCATTAACTTGAAAATCACCGTATCTTGTGACAAAACTGAGTGATACTTATAAGATACTTTTTGTATTATAATATTATATTCTATATTCATACCATAATGGTTTAAAAATACTTTTTGAAAAAGTCCAAGTTTTTTTTCTTCCTTTCAGCTGCCTGTGAAGGCTAACTCAGACCATGGAAAGACCGTGAGGTTGCAATGCAGGGGGACTCCAGCTAGTCAGAAGAGAGAGGCTGGGGAAGATACGGTCCAACTGGGGAGCTACGCAGCCACCCGGAGTGAGCTGAGCATTAGATGTTCCTGGTGCAGTACATCACTCGGGTCACCATGCACCATCTGAAGATCAGCCTGACTGACTGCAGGAGGGAAAGGACTTGATTCCCCCAGACCCAAAGAACTGGATCTGGCGGGAGGAGGCAAGGTGGCCTCCCCGGCTGTGCTGAGAGGGGACACCCCTGTGATGTCATGACCGCAGTCTCTCTCAAGGGCCCCTGGGCAGTGGTTTTGAAGACTTCTAGGAAGCTGAACCTTGAACAGTTTTCTTCTTTCACCCGCTGAGAGATCATCTCTAGGTAACAAAGGTCCAGCCCCAAATTCTCTCCATTCCTTTTTCCTCCGGAACATGTGAAAATGTTCATGGCCTCTGACTTCCCAGGACCTCCGCATCTGCGAGCAGCCTCTGTTTCCTGCAGAGGTGTACAGCGCTCACCAGGCTGTGTGCCAGACAGGAGCCTGGCATAAGTCTCAGTGCAAAGAGTTATTTTAAGTTGGTCTACCCAAACCAGGCAGAAGTGTCTCTCTGTTAATTTCTTTAATATAATAATAAGCAACAGGATACTTTACATGCATGGAGCAGGCCCTTCCTGCGGGCACCAAGCTGACATTCCAGGAGCTCCTCCCTGGGTTCCCATCCTACAGCGTGGCCCCACCCCGCTCACTGGCCTTCCAGGGTCACACCCAGATTTCACTGAAAACAGCGGTGACCCAAGGAAATGACTCCCTGCCAAGGAAGAGGAGCGATTCACATCATCGTGCAAAGTTCTTGATTCCACACCAGTTTACCTGCTTTCATTTTGGAAAAGAATGTGGGCTCCACTTATGCATAATCAAAAGACCATTATAGTAATTTTGTCTTCCAAAAACAAAAGTTAGCCTTTTCCGAAGAGAAACCAGAGACATCTATGACCATTTGAAAGTAATAATCGGTACCCATTTTTACTCACCCAGATTGCAGATATTGAAACATAACATCTTTGACAGTATCATATCAAAAGTTTGTTGTAGCTAAAGACAATCATTTTAAACTTTGAGCCCACAGAAATGCAAAAGAGAGAAAAGAAAACCCAAAACATGTCTTGATTACAGCCCTCTGTAATCGCATCATAATTATCATGGATAAAACAAATCTCTACTTTTAGGCTATGTGTGTGTGTATATCTGCAATTTGGATGGCTGCTGTAAAGATTTATGTGTGTAATTATGTTTAATGAGCTCAGCTCAATTTGATATATAGCGTCAGCTAACACCCGAAAGATTAGCAGAGGTGAGCACTGACGGGGAGATCAGCAAACAGCTGAGGGCTGTGAGGATCGGACCGTGATTCCTCGGGGGCCTCAGTTCACCCGCTGAGTCATCCCATCTCAAAAATTTTATCTTTTCCTCCTGCCCCCCAGTTCCGTGACATTTCTTCCGAGGACTTTGTCAACGTTGTCGCATCTGAGCATCCAGGAGTTGCACACGGAATGCCTCTGGAAGAAGGCAGGGACATTTGTGGGTGGAGAATATGCAGTGGTGAAGGGCAAGGGGCCAAGAGCTGTGTCAGTTGGAGAAAACACATCCAGACGGACAGGTGTGCAGGCAGACCTCTTAGAACACGGTGTGACAAAGGGATGCTTATGAATTGGCCAGAAAATGTTCACTGATGTCCACTCTCACAAATCAATAGTTCACATGTACGGGGGAGCTCAAATTTGAGACTGTAAGAAACACTTTTTATCCCTATGCATGCTTTCTTCTGATTTTATATACTATACCATGGGTGATTTCACTCAAACCTTCAGGTGCTCTTGTCATATATTTAGCATTCATACACGCATGTATCTGCACATGTATGTACATGTGTGTATGAGAAATTAAATAATATAAAGTAGTAGCTCGGTGCACAAACTCAATTTTCTCCATGATTCTGGTGCAACCCGAAGTAGGGGAGAATCGAATCAAATTTCCTCACAAGGTCAACATTAAACCTAAGCACTGAATTTGCTTCATTTCTAGCCCAACTTGGCTTGTGACCAGCAGTGTAGAAAGAATCAAGTTCATGAGCCGAGGAACCACTGCCTTCTGAATAACGTATATCTTAAAGAAAAAAATCTCAAGAGAAATTAGAAAGTTTTCTGAACTGAACAATAATGAAAATGTAACATATAAAACTTGGATTACATATAGAATTGTTTCAAGAATAATTTCCTGTAAGCTTTAAAGGTTTACATTTCAAAAAAATACAATAAACTCAATGATGTAAGTTAGGTTTCAGATTATGAAGAGCAAGATTGAGAAAGGGGAAGAGGAAAAGACAAAGGCCACCAAGGTAAAGTCCAAGTCAGCAGAAGGAAAGAAATAATAAGGAAATGAATAGAAATTAATTAAATAGAAAATCACAACAAACCACCACAAAACTAAAGAAAATGTACAAATCCAAATATTTGGTTACTAAGAAAGTTCAAGGCACTGTAATAGAGATCTAGAAATTTATATAAAAGAAGAAAAAATAAAAATTACAATATTGAAGCAGAGGAATTATCTATAAAGTTGCTACAAATAGACATTAATGTAAGGAACAGTTTTATGACAATAAATTTTATAACAAGATAAAGAATCTCTTGAAAAAAATCTTATCAAGCCAAAAGTAACATAATATGAAACAGTATACCAGAATACCCTATATGCACATACATACACACACACATACACACACACACACAAATACACACACACAGAGAAAGAGACAGAGGGACAAAGACAGAGACAGACAGAGACAAAGAGACAGAGAGACAGAATGATAAAATTATTATCATTATAAAATGATAAAACAGAAATGATAAAACAAAGAAAACACAAGGCACAAATGATTTCACTGTGAATTCTATTAGATATCTCCAGAAGGTAAAAATCAATATTATACTAGTTTAGAAAACTAAAGAAGAATAAACTTCTCAACGTGTTATAAAGCTAGAATGCTCTTATTATAAAACTTAACAAAAATATAAGAATGTAGTATGTACTCATTTCCCTTATGAACATAAGCAAGATCATTCTTAGCAAGATGTAAACAAATGAAAGTGGATTTGTGAAGAACGCAAAATTGGTACCGCATTCAAACATCCATCAGTGTAATTCACTGTTACAAAAGTATAAAGGACAAAATTTCTATGATAATTTCAATGTATACAAAGCATATTTGAAAAATTATCACTTCCGATTTTAAAAAATTTCGGCAGGTTAACAAACATCTTTTACGGAAATCTAACATCTAGAAACATATGGAAGTAAGACACTGAATATTTCCCCAAATCACTGGGTAAAAGACATGGATTCTCATTCTTATGGTTCTCACTCAGTGTCATTCCGGAGATACTCTCCATTGCGATAAGAAACAGAAAAGAAGTAAAAACGTAAAAATCTGAAAGAAAGCAGTAAAACTGTTTCTGTGACATGTCATTTTTATACAAAAATTCTGTAGAGTACAGAAAGCTATGAAACCTCTTATGTAAATTCAGCAAGATCACAGAATATAAGATTAATATGCAAGTCAGTTCTATTTTTATGTCTTGCCAACAAATTTTCAAAATAAAATTCTTTGATGGGAGCAGAATCCAAAGCACATTAATATTCTTTTGCTGAGCTTCAAAGAATGAAGGTATTCTGAGTTGATCTAAGTGAAAATTAACCAGCTTCACAAATATAAATGGACCCCTCAAAGCAAACTTCGGCCATCATGGGATTAAAACTGAAAAATACCTTGCCAATCCCCCACTTTTAACTTTCTCTCCAACACAAAAGCACTGTTGTAATGGAATTTCTAGCTCCCTTTGAGTTTATAAAGTCAGGCTTCGCAAGTAGCTGCCTGCTCTATATTAGCAATATCAGAAAGGTCTTTGGAGAAAAAATACCCTATGCAGTCACT